TCAACGCGACAGCTTAGCATGCGGCCTTCAGGAGATCACGAGATTAAGACACATACAAGAGTCAATGCCCCAGGCTGGTATCAAACACATAGCCTTCTATGAAAACGAGGTATGTAGTACATTTATTTATGGTTCACGAAAACAAATGACTTCTATTTCCTTTGATGCATCAAATTAACCATCCGAAGCCCAAACTCATCTAAATAACGCCCGCATTCTCATAGTCATAAATATTATTCATTAAGGCCCAAAAGCAATTAACATCGTCATCATGGCAACGGCTACAACACACACAGTGCAAACAGTAATTTAAAAAAAAAAGATCACCAACCAAAACTTGCCTATTGTACAAATAGATTCAGTCTGTACCTCAAAGAAAACTGATTAATATTGTTTAAAGGAATAATAGATGTTTATATTTAGAATAATAATCTACTAGATATAATATGTGATCAAAATACAGAGTTAATGATTGTTAATGCATGTGGTATACATGTTTACCGCTGAGACTCATAGGGTTAATAATGCAAGTGAAACCATATATTTCTACCACGCTATAAATTCATTTATTCACACATTCAGTTCAAGTCACTGCCAACCTCAGGGTCATTAATACTGTTAATAACGGCAGAATATTAAGAGCACGTCACGTCATGAATGTATGAATTGCCCACACACGCGACATGGAATGACGAGTTTTAATCAGCGGAATTGGATGAGCATGCAACTTATACCACGAAGCATACCAGTTCTTCTCTTGATAAACTGACGGTCGCCCAGATATTCAATAAATCTGCTTTGTTCTCAAACTATTTATATTTCTTTGTAACGAAACGCGGGCTCAGATTCACATATTCTACGCTATGCCACGTGAGTTTTCTCAGTCTCTCCAGGCAATTCCCTTGATAACAGATTAAATTACGTCACGGGAGCACATTTTTCATATACGTTCGAATTCATCATTCGTTGTTCGCTATATCATTCGACTCTCGTATAATATGAGATAACATTCCTTTAAAACTTTTAATCATCTGGTGATATTTTGTGTGGGATATTATAATTAAACAGAGTGAATGAATATTAAGTAGAGCTACAACTAATAATTTGTATACAAAATATTATCAAGATTTAATTTATCTGTACTATTTTATTTCCTTAAACTTGTAACGAGCACAAAGCGAAATATTTTATCCACGTACGACGTACAAGGCATGTGACGATTTGAACACTGGTACATTTAAAGTCATACGCATTTATTTCCTACGATAAGTCATTTCGTAATAAACTCTTAACTGAAGTGGCGTGAGTACGAGGTGCGATCGGAAAGTTTCAAGACTGCGAGTATAAAAACCCTGGAAGCATCCCTGGAAATCTTTCTTTGTCAGCCTGTCAAGCACCATCTGCGATTCTGCCTGAATCTCTTCTATCGTCTCAAATCTCCTTCCCTTTAGCTGAATTTTCATCTTTGAGAAGAGGAAACCTTAGAAAGGAAGTTGGGGTCGGTTCTTGCAAGATCTTTAAACTCCTGACAAACGAGAAGTCGATTCTGCTTCTGGTCCTCAGACAGGATGCGTCGCATGTGGAGTTCTTCCTTTAGAATCAGCTGACAGGTCCCATAGCCTATCCCAAAAATGTCGCACAAGTCGTTGATGGTAAGACGTCGATCTTCGTGAATGGCCTGCCAAATCTTCGTAACATTTTCGGGCGTTGCGCTCGAAGATGGTCGTCCAGAACGCTCGTCATCATCGACAGAGGTTCGGCCATTTTTAAAACGTGAATGCCACACAAAAGTTTGTGCACGACCCATTGCGGACTCCCCAAATGCTTGCTTTAGCATTTCATAGGTTTCCGTAGCCGTTTTGGCAAGTCTTTGGCAATCGTACTACATCCGGTTCGCCCTCTATTGACACAGTCTGCAAACTTTCCGATCGCACCTCGTACATATGCCTTTTCATGTCCCTTAATATTTAATTACTCTTATTCTAGTTCTAGGGACACATATTTACAACCTTTACCACTTTGACAGAGACCAAACATTTGCTTTAAGGGGTGGTATGATCACCATCAGATCGTCCAACAGTGATGACGCGTCCACACATTGTTCAATGTTCGCTAAGTAATTCGAATTAGCCACCGTATGAGGCGAGGCCCCCTAAAACCCCACGTTCGTTTCCACGATCGTAAATTTAAAACAAGCTACGAGAACACGGAATTACGTTTTACTGTTTGTGACTCCATTATCATATCTTCTTTGTTCGTATTTCTAAGCCCCACTTTCATCTGTCTTCCGCTGTAATCCCCGTGCAACATTTCGGTTGCTAGGATACATAATTGACGTATTACAAGAACGCTACACAGAGCTCTAGTTATTCGATTGTTTTTTGTACATGGGGCGAGTTTCAAAACCCCAAGAGATTGAAGAACCTTGAGTAATGCGATGTGATATGACAACGCTCTTGAACATGAAGTTGAAAGGAAATTAGAATAATATTCATCAGTTTGAATAGCATTTAATAATCTCTTTTGAAGCTCAGGGTTTTCAGGAGCACAGAGGGACGTTGATTCTCCAAAGAAATAGCATTCTCGTTCAGAAAGATGTCTTCGCATCAGATTATACACAGCGGTATCGTTTTCAAAGTGTACCTTGACTTGACAGTAATGGCGTTTCATCTCACAAAGTTGAATGTTTACGATCTAAAATCTGCAGAAGGGAATCATCATCCCCTCGCAGAAGTGGTGTTAGAATACACCAAAACAAATTTGTTGTCAGGGCTTATGCGGGTGGAATTGAATGACAGGACTGTTTGTTTAAGAATCTTGTATCAACTCCATCCATTCAATGACACTACAGCCCGAGTCGGGGATCTGGACTCTTTCTTGTATCAACTTCTAATTCAAGAAAGGAGAGATGTATGACAAACATTCTGAGACAAAATTAAAGAATGGGTGAGATTTCTTAAAGTAACATTCAACATTCAGAAGGGCTCTTTTTTACTATAAAAATTTGTGATTTGCCGTTGTCGTAAAAAAATGACGTCATCAAACAAATGACTTCAGTAAGACACTAAACTAACCACCCCGATGGGGGTGGTTAGTTTAGTGTCTTACACAAGATTTTAAAACGCAACCAACTCCCCCGAAAGGGGGTTGGTCAAGTGTTTTAAGCCCCCATTTGGGGGATTGGTTTAGTTTCTTACACAAGATTTTAAAACGCAACCAACTCCACCGGGGGGGGGGGGGTTGGTAGCGTTTTAAAAACTTGACCAACACCCCGAGGAGCTCCGAAAGGAGCGCTCTGCTCTAGTAACTCTTACAATAGGCAAGTCCGAAAATGTGAAACAATTCTGACGATTTTGCAACAATGTGCCTAGGGTAACCACGACAATGAATGTAACGATGGTAGCGAAGGTAGCATGTGGGGTGTCCCCTCATCCAGTTTCTTCCGCGAGCAGAATAAATGTGGGTTTCCGTTCGAAGTCCCATTATCGTTGTCCAGTTTTAATGAAAATTTGAATACGTCGACAATTTTTTTTTTAAATCAGAATATTAATAATCGTGAACAGACGTACGGACGGATGAAAAAGGTAAACGGGAGGCCTTGCTCAGATTTTTTTTAAACATAAGTTCCGTACGCGCCAAAAAAACAAACAAAAAACAAATGCGATCCGATACCGCGAAATTAATCCGTTCCGTACGCGAAGGGTCGTGAAAATTATATTTCCCGGCATCCTCTATTCTTTGGCTTGCCTCCCGTTGGCCGGCAGACGACCTGCCAAATACAGGCGCACCTACAACTGGAATGCCTGTAAAATATCCATAGTTCCCAACTTGTTCCATTCACTTTCTGTCTAAACCTGACGCACAGACTCGGTGTTGTATAGTCGGCTTTGGACAGTAATTCTATTGCTGCAAGAAGTTCGGGTCAGTAGCTGAAGGCTTTCATTGGCTGTTAGTTCGACCTGCAACTTCTTCACTTCATTACAGAACTTTGATTAATATCGAAAGAAGAGTTCAGCTGAGTACAAGAAAAAAAAACTCTTCAACAGAATCGTGATCAAGAAAGTTGGTCCAAACACACGCATCATGTCCATTCAGTTTCGTACGGTTTGGCGGAGCGTCGCTTTGAGACGTCGTAACACTCGCGAGGTACCAAAAGGCGAAGTCAGTCATATATGGAGAAGACCCTTGCTGATAAAAAAAATGAGGCTCTTAGTTCGTGCTAAGATGATTGTAGGTGCTGCCATCTCGATTGTAGTGAGAATAATCAACGTGAAATGAAACAAGACAGAAGAAGTACGCATAGCGTAACAGTTCTGGCGAGAACGCTGTGTGTTACTGCCCCTAGATTTTCAGTTCTCTTGTAAAAATGTAGTCGAACGAGTATGGCCCATGTGATATAAAAAAAAGATAGGAATTTTACGCTTGACGTTGCTATTAAGAATTTTTCATTATATCTTTGCAGATGGCAGAGAATTTCTCTGTCGGGGATCCCCACGACGGAATCCCCATTGTAGATCTTCATATAAAGTACCAGTTACTATTTTCTGATTTTAACCAAAATTTTAGTGCGTCGTCAAATGTTAATGAAAATCCCTAACATCAAATTCCATGCAACTGTTATCGAATTATCTTACGTGTATAACAACTGTGACAGACGGACCGAACGATTTTAATAGGCTTTCCTAAGGAATGTGGCCGTTCTCGACAAAAATCCGTCGATTTTTGTGTCTGAATACGATGGACGGACGGGGGAGGGGCTGTTTCTGGATGTTTCGCTTTCATGCGAGTTTCGGGCCCTATTTTGACACCTACAACAGCTGCAGATTCGGACTGGATGACCGATGTCTATTCCAGAAGGGCAAGTGAGAACGTTTATCTTCGCTATCAGTGGAGTACGCTGACGTTCTTAAACAAAATGAGACCTAGACACTACCTTAAAGGAGGGAAGAGGTCGTGGAGGACGCATAAGTAGCCAATGTGATAGCTGAGTCAATTCTTACCTCCTTGTAGAGATGGGTAGATGTAAAAAGAAGGTTCCTGGACCCAGGACACCACACGGATCAATTCCTTGACGAAACTCGGTACGACACAGCGGAGTACTGCAGTGCATCCACGAGAAGCACCCAGAACTTCAACCTCGACTTTGTACGCTTGTGCCACCACTGTAGACAAATGAAACTAATATGCACTACCAAATTTGAATGAAGGTTTGCACTAATGTTTACAGTTACGTGATCACTATTACATCCACGTGAGGTAGCGAGTTTAACAGAAGAAGCTTGGAAATTTAATAAATTATTTAATGACGCGCTTATGCACTAAATGCAAATTAATTTTACAATCTTTACTACTGATATCAAAGTAAATTTTATCGAATATAACGACAAAGCTCAGTTTACTGTGACAGATTTAGTATAATCCACCTCAGAAACCATTTCCCTAGGATATACCTTAATGTCATCCTCCCATCTACTTCACTATCTTCCAAATAAACGTTTTTAAATAACTTTCCCCACCAACACTGTAAATGGATTCGTCATTTTATTCTAATATAACACGTTCAGTTTATCACAACTTCCTAAATTTGACTGTCATGGGAATACAAAGACTAGATAACCTTTATAAATCACAAAGTTTCTTGACTAAAATAATAATTGTGGTATTTGAGGTTTTCACGGCCGTGAGTCCGATGATGGATGTCTTCTGGGTACCCTGATGATGGAGGCAGCAAAGGCCTCTGAAACGTAAGTAAACTTCTACCAGAAAACACTCATCTTCAAAATAATATTTATTTAAATTAAAAATAACAAGATTATTTTATGGAAACTATTTGTCAGCCTGTGTGATATTTCTTTCGACATCCCTGCTTTAACGTAGCAAAGTAACAGCGGATGACATGGTATTGCTAGAAATCGCTGTATCTGTTGCTACTAGCATTAAATCTGCCCCCCTGAAACTCAAGAGTTTTGTGACTGAGTAATATCGTTTATGGCGAGGAAGTGGTCTACCATTACATATATCATTTTGCTATATAAACAATGTTAGTGAAATGAGAAACGAATAGAAAGTGAAACGCAGGAATAATATAAAAAGTAAGACCAAGAAGACGAAGGCAAAGAACAACGAAAACTCTTTCTTGAAAAGCTGAAACAGGGGAAATAAAAATGATAAAGACAATTCCTTACTGTTTTATTCATACGATCCTACTGGAAGAACACTACAGACATCTGTAGGAATAGAGAAGCAGCGTCAAAATGCATTGTACTCTGAGTTACAAAGTTGAATATAATGCTGGAAAAATGGATCTCTCCTCTTCTCTTTTCATTCCACTGCATAATAAATGCCACTTTGTTTCCTTTTTTCTCTCGTTATACGCTCTCGCTCGACGCACTGAAAATGAGAATATTGGACAGGTAATGCATTTCATTACATTAGGCAGGTACAAATGGAATTTATTTCATTTTTTCTCCCAGAGTCCTCTTACCCACGAAAAAATCTATTAACTCTGCAGCTGGTTAACAGGTACACCAAGGCACATAAACCAGCAACATCTGGATCACACACGTGCGGTTGCCAATAATTTTGCATGAGGTTACATTCTGAGGAAATTTCTTATTCATCTCACATAAATATGGTGTCCATTTCGGAGTGGTAGGTTACAGAAAGCGGTTTTAAACCTTTGTTCATAGATCCTTCAAGCTAATTAATTTGCAAGTAGTTTATAAATATAAGTTAACTAACTTCCTGGAGCAAAGCCCTTCTTAAGACGCGAATAGTACGCTCAGGTCTTCAAACAAGAATATTTTTTTTAAACCAAAGGACCACTGATATGTTCACCAGTCTCTACATTGAGTCAATTTAATCCAATCCACCCCATACAGCTTCAAGATCCATTTTAATATTATCCTCTCGTCTACTCTTAAGTCTTCCGTGTAGTCTCCTCTCATCAGGTTTTCCAGTCATAATTGTTTCCACATTTCTCATTTACCCCACGTATAGGTCCACTTAAGTATTACGAACGTGCCAGAGTAAAACCATTCTAATTTTGTAACGCATGAGTGGCTGAAATTTGATCAACACGACCAATGACAGTCGTTGAAACGGAGCTGTTAAGTACTCTGTCAGCAATTGAGTGCAATTGTAAATTTTTATAATCATTTGTAAAATAAATTAAAAGGCTCTTGAAATCGTTTAAGTTAATAATTACGATTGGGCTCAAATTACGCCTTATTCCTATTTATTGGTCCATGTCATTTCTGTAATAAATTGTTAATTTGTGCGGTAAAACGTGAAGGGGCACAAAAAGAGTCCATGAACATCATTCGCATTCCCGCCTCTTGATCACGTGGTTCCAAAACAGCTGTAGGCCTCACAAAGTGTTATTAGGGCGACAGGATCAAGGGTTATGAGATGGACGGGGCATGTAGAGCGCGTGTGGTACATAAAATGCCTGAAGGGAAGTCACTCGGAAGATCTTGACGTAGATGAGAAGATCAATGGATCTTAGGTAAATAGAGTAGGAGGTTGTAGATTGGATTTATCTGGCTCCAGAAGAGACTCGTGGCGGGCTCTAGTGAACACGGTAATGAACCTTTTGGTTTCGTAAACGGCGGGGAATTTATTGACTGGCTGAGCGTACTATTAGCGTCTCAAGAAGGGGTCTGCTTCATGAAGTTAATTAGTTTCAACACGGACTCTCAACTTTAAAATTTACACTTCGGCGGACGTCGCCTAAAAGTGGTTAGTTTTAATTAGCACGATTTCACCTTCTACCTGTGAACCAGATAATCATCAGCATTATGGATTGTTTCTCGCAGGTCACACGAAAGTGCGGTTGATGACATGAGACAGACGCCATTTCTTTCATGAGAGAGAAAAAGAGAGAGAGAGAGAGAGAGAGAGATTCGTGTCGTCCTCTGATTGCGAAAAGATTAAAGTGAACCTGAAGTCGCTACAGTGGCGAGGAACAGTGCCTTGAGACTGCACCAGTTAGATTAATTTTGGTTTACTTTAATTGCGGAGACATCACAAAAAATAAGACACGCAAAATTCTGTGGCCACCCCCACAACAAGGGAAACGATTTGACACATATAAATCATAAAATATAAAAATAAGACGTAAAACGCAGGCGATTTCCGGACAAAACTCGAAACTACTGTGGGAAAACGACGCCGAAAGAACACGAAGTTGAAAAACCGACGCAGAGCGTCTTGACGACATTTGTCCACATTTGACGCCAAATTTGGCACGAATGTGACTCGGAATGCTGCTGGACAGGACGCTGGAAAAACATCCGTCTAGTCTGGTAGGAGTTTACCGACGTTTCGGAGCTCCTTGCTGCCTCCATCATCAGGGCGATGAGTAGTTGGGGTTTACGGATTCTATTTTCCTATTATATTCAACAATACGCCTACGTATTGGATGATAAGGCGTGTGATAACTTTCCGGGCAAGAGAGATTAATAATAAAAACATTTTTTAAAATCTTTCGAGTCCTCTGCCATTACAAAGATCAATGTGATAACGCTATTTAAGAAAATAATAGCTGTTTACATAGAGAATTATACAAACACAAAAAAGTGCATACATACAGATTGTCAAGAAGGTTGGATAGATATGTACCAATAAGCTTTGAAGGGTTAAACAAGGGTTAGTAAAGAGATTTGCGGGCCCCTCGTTGACGGCCACAATCGCTACGTTTCGATCAGGAAGTCGATGAAGAAATAGCAAACAAAAACGTTGCCTCATAAACAAATTAAAAACAAAATTCCATTTCCGATAAAACCTTCGAAACAAGTGTGAGGGGTCCGCCGAGACATCGCCTTAATTTCATTACCTTCGAAAACATTTCGTAAAAAGAAACACTGTAGGTTAAGAAATACTGAAATTTGTAACCAGCGAACATTTTTCCTGGATGTAAATAGCAAAATAAAATTAACGTGTTTGGTATGAAGTGTGTAACTCAGGAAATGTCTTTCTTTGTACAAAGTAACAACGCATTACGCAGTTTTGAAAATCGATAAGACAGACTCAGCTTATTTGGTTAATTGAGGACTCAGAGAAAAATTTAATGAATTTTAATTGTACATGTGTTTCTTTTATTTTTCCGTGTGCTGTCTAACACGTAGCCGATAAAATATTATATAATTTTAACTGCTGTGTTTTAAAATAAACATGTCCTAGCTTAATGATTTATTTATTTATTTAGTGTTCTGTCTGACGACAGGTCCATATGAACAGGATCCTTCCATCCTTTTCTCGGACTGGGACCTGTTCATATACGTTCTTGGCAGATGATCCAGAAGCGGTTTGCCATTGCCTTCTTCTGTGCGTGAATGGAGTAATTGTTGGGATGCCACGGAGAAACCGGGGAAGCTCCCGGAGGAAAACTCCGTGTTGCCTAGACCACGGCCTTGCCCAACACAAGTTATAAATTCGGGCACCGCCGGGAATCAAACCCGAGACCCCAGGATTACAAGGCCAGCGTTCTAACCGCTAGAACACCGCAGCTCGTGGCTTAATGATAACGTCAATAAATAAACCACAAATATTGCATATTGCAACATTTGTTCTCTCAGTTTCAAAGAAAACACAGATGATAATATTTGAGAACAAGGTGCTAAGGGGAAAATGTAGACTTAAGAGGGATGAAGTGGCAGGAGGGAAGAGAAATAATGAGCTTAATAATATACACTCTTTACCACGTATTATTAGAATTATCAAATCAAGAAAGATACTGTATGCGGGACACGCAGATGACGTAAGCAAAAAAGAATTTCGTATACACACTTTTACACTATCAACATCAAAGAAAGACCTAAATGTTAAATGACACTTTAATTACGCGTTGCATCTTAGAAAAGAAGAATATGAACTAGACTTATCCGAACACACCTGCATTCTACGTTGTTCCTAAGTTTAGTCTGGCAGAAATTTACGTATATTTCAGAGCTACTTCGTACTTCTGTCACCAGGACTCATCGTCTCTACGATAAACGAGCCACTGTCGTTACAAGGCGTACCTGCCCTCACTTGGACGTCTCTGCTGATGATCCTGCCGACGGCGTTGGACGCCACACAGCGATACACGGTGCTGTGGATATCCTGGCGGTAGGCCGCAGGTGGGAAGGGCAGAAGGACGAGGGTCCCGTTCCTTAGGACACGCCTGACACCGTGAACATCCCCCACCGAGGACCCGTCGACCGACAGCCAGTCCACCGAAGGAGGTGGACTTCCAGACGCCGAACAGTCCAGCCACCCGCCACTGGAGTTTGAGAATTCCAGCCTGGGTGGGGGTTCCAGAAGGAAGCTCGGACCGCGGAGATGAGAATCGAACCCCGCTACACTGCACATTAGTCCTGTAACACGTAATTGTAAAGTCGGTTTAAGGCTCCGTATTCGGATGTAATGTGCGCGTAATGAAGACGGAAAAGAGCAGAATAAACGAAGTTAAAATTAGAATCCAAAACCAAAACAATTACAGCGGAAGTAGACGTAAGATTTGAGGCACTTCACCCTTTAAAGCTAAGAGAGAGAGAGAGAGAGAGAGAGAGAGAGAGAGAGAGAGAGAGAGAGAGAGAGAGAGAGAGAGAGAGAGAGAGAGAGAGAGAGGAAGTGAGAGACACTTTATTTCTGGGTGGGGGAGAGAGAAAAAGCATCTTATTGTTAGAAGGTTCCAAGGCAATGCCCACTCGTCCTTCCGATAAGGATAGAATAATGTTGAAAACGTAAGAGCGATACACAGTCAGAGCTTGATAACAGGGACGGCTGGAATTTTATTTAGTTCTTAGTAAATGTTGAAATTATAATTTAAAAATTTAAGTAAGTAATTAAATTGCCTCCACTCTAAGGGGATATATTTTGACAGATTTAAATCGTGAATTTTAAATGTTATGGAAGGATGCTTTCGTGTTTTTATTTTAAGGTTATATTCCGAAAAAGCTGGGGTAAACCACACACAACTCTGTCACTGTAGCCGTTCTGCGGACCGGGATTATAACCCAGGACCTCCCAAACACGTATCAGGAGTACTAACCGCTCTATCTACGACGTTATGAACTTTGGTTTCAAATTATCAAGCTAAGTAGTGGCATGACAGCATTCAGTAAGTTTTTTTTCCTGTAAACCCGCGAAAAAGAACTCAAGATCAATGTTTTAGAGACCTTGAAGAGTAATTTGAAACAGGTAATGTGTGAACGCTGTTATTAGCGCCGTGTGAACTCACTGTCACTTCAATACAACACGGTGAGCGGTCTGTAATGGAAGTGCGCCAGGCAACAGAGCAAAGTTTCCTCGTTCCGAAGTTTCGAGTTCAAAGTTTCGACACTCCTTTCCCGATGCCCTTCACGTCTGTCATCTGCACGCTCCTCTTAGTATCCCTTGGTCACTCAAGTGCATACGCCTACCTTGCTTCCACTACAATACCTGAGATAGCGTATTTTTCGCAATTTGCATTTGATTACAAACACGTAACTCATTCCTGACTCTTACATACACCTTCACTGACACATTCGATTATTTTAACAAAAGCTAGCTTGTTATTAAGTTATACAAAACCTGACGATGACTGCATTCAGTCGAAACATGATGTGATAAGTGTTTTAAAATAAAAGTAAAGCTGTCCCGCTTTACGCCATATAGGCGCTTAGGGGGAGAGCCGGTATAGCTCCTACTCATTCTTCACCTCACCACTAGATGGGGTGAGTGGTTAGCGTCACGCTCCGGCCGTGCTTTACCCCCGGGAAAGGACCCCGGTACCCATTGGATAGGAGGCTGGGTGGGGCCCAGAAAAGGTCTGGACGCAGAGGCTGGAGGAAAAATCCTCTGCTTCCCGTCGGGGATCGAACCCCGGTCGTCGAGTCCGTAGTCAGTTAGTGTACTTACTGAGCTACGCCGACTCTATAAGATAAAATGACACAGATGAATATAAATAAATGATCCTTCGAAACCCTAAAATGCGCTAAATTAAAGATTTGAGAATCAGCGCTACCATAAAGAGTTTTTGAGCAGGTTAGCTGACCGACGCTGCTCCACGACTGGGAACGAGGGTTTCTAAATGATGACCGGTCACTTTGCCGTGGGAGAAATGAAAGAATTCATAACAACGAGTCGTAGCCGTGACGCAAATCTTTCTGTATCAGCTCTCCGCCCCATTTCATCTTCACCCCCAAATCTAAACTACATCGTAAGGGCCCTCGGCTATGAAGATTAATTATGCAAGCAAAGTTATATGAAACGAGGGCGCCTGTCAGTTAAAACACCCCATTCCACCGCGCCGAGTCGGGGCGGGGTACAAACCCTCCATGTGATTGATTGTAGTCGCGGAGCCGCGAAGTGTGAAATTCTCTGCCGCCATGTTTGCTGCGGGCAATGGACTGAAGGTTAGGTTTTGTGTACGGAAAGAGGAAGGCACGAAGCGATGATGAAGAAGGCGAAGTTGGAAGAGGGGACATAAAATGATGGTGAGTAGAAGAGAAGAGAGGTGATGGTAAAGAATGGGACAGAGAGAGTCAAGGAGAATAAAGAGGAAGAAATAAGGTTACAAAGACATAAACATCGAAGTATAGGGAATTTATTGTCGGAGGGAGACAGAGAAATATGGAGAATGATACACAAGGAGGAAAGAAGGGGCGAAGAATGACTGATGCTGTGTTCTCTATAACAGGGTTGTCCCAAAACTTTGATCAGAACGAAAGTTAAATGGAATTTTTATTAAACACAAGTGGCGAAAAAAAGTGTTTCTATTTTTTCGGAAAATTCTAAAGATCGGACCATCTACACTTCCAGGGCGTGATGATACTAAGCCTTAAGCAAATCTGGACCAAACCCAGACTTCTTAACCCATCTGTCAGAAAAGCGACCGAAAAGAATTACTTTTAGGGATTCATTAAAGTCACACGTCTTTTACAATAACCGCAGAATTTACGATACCTTGACAATTTTCAGAAAACCACTAATTTAGCGGATCAGATTCCTTGATAAGCTAATAATATCTCAACTGATAGACAAATCTCTCGCCTTTTATAGAACCCAAAGGTTCATTACACTACACATACGGCCCTGCCACCGGCCCCTATCCCAAGCCAGATTAATCCATTCCACACTATTTCCTTAACATCCATTACCTCGTATATTAACAATTAATTCTGCTCTATCGAAGGCGTTATCAGAGTCCGTGTTATTGCCTTACAATTTGCTTGTGTCCACTTCATAAGATCGTAGAACTCTGCAAACGGACCCTGTTATAATCTATAGGCCCATTATAGACTGTACCCAGCACTGAGTCTTCACCTAAACAAAGCCATAATATGTGTAGGATTTTAGGTTTTCACGGCGGTGAGTGTGAGGATGACCCCGATACGTGGTTATCAAAAATCTGTCTCAGATTATGCTCCTAATCTGAAAATTTCACTTTCTTTGAACTTGCTTTTAGACTAAGGATAACTCAAATCTGTCTGAAAATAGACAAGGAAAATTACAAAGCAATAATTTTGGTCGTTTTCAAGGTGATGATGGTAATGTGAGGTGAATTAAAAAGATCGATCTAGACATTGCTGTAGGAGCTCTGAGGAAAACTATGGAAAATCAGTAACCATAGTCGATGCCATATTAAAGATTTGAACCAAGTACCTCGTAAATGCCGATAAGACAAATTTTCGGTGTACTAATCTCCAGTGTTATAGCACAGTGATGCTCAGTTTGCGGAGATGCGTCCATTGGTACTGATTACGCTTTGATTTTACTCAGTGTTATTCTAGATAGCACTTTTATACAGGACCAAAAATAAAATTATTTCTCTGTTCATGACGTCTGATGTTGGCAAAGTTATCTTTATGTAGATGGCTTGTAGACCATTTTTTTTCACATTTAATTTTAAGGCCAGAAACCCACTTCAGTCTTAAATGTTCTGGAAGATTATTCGTCTACAGTACAATAGAAGACAGTCTAGCTGAGAAAGTTGTGTTTCTTCGCTTACATAATAAGTCCGCGAATATGATACTTATCTTTTGACCGAGGTCTTTATGACTTTCATTAATATTTAAACTAGGCCAAGACTTTTTCCTCTAACGCCATTGCCTGCTCAGATTTTAGTGTAAAATACATGCGCTATTCGACTCCAAAAACTTCGACACAAGCAACAGAGTTGTTAAATACTCTCAGAATCATAACACACATCTCATTATACACTTTAATTAGCTTACTGCTCAGTTGTATACAGACTGCGTGGAGTTTTGCATTTATGCCCCATATACTTTAAAGCTGAAACAGACAGAGGCAGATTCACCTTTACCCTTATCTAATTAAGGTCGAAGCAACTGCGTAACGTAAGAAATTCAGGAAGTAAATAGGGAACATAGTCTGTTTAAAATAAACACAAGTTAATTGCACGACAGGCTTTTTGGATGAAACGGGATTAAAGTTTCACATAACAAACAGCCTGTGTGTAAGGAGAGGCGGTATGTAATCCTGCAAAATATTTACAGAGCTTAGGCGTTTTCGTTTCGTGGTGGTTTATTGGATTGCACTATTAAGGGGAGCACAAGCGCTGAATTAAAGAATAATAAACACGAAAACATGGGCCCCAAGAAAGTGAAAAGACTAGAAATTTGTGAAAAAGAGACTTTCAAACGTAGATAAAAAAGGTAAATAAGAATAAAGACCGACAGAGACAACAGGAGATGTCGTGACCCACTTCTCCACGCGAAGTCTGACAGAAACAACCAAAATCTCATTAAGATAGTCGGTTTTACGGCGAAACGAAGCTACGCCCTGAAAATGGAAGCAGTAATAACCACCGAAACGTCGACCACAACGAGATTAAACGTCGCAGCATCCAATCTTAATGCCGTGAGAACCTAAAATCTCACACACAGTTTATATTTCTCTCATACGATGAGAATTTCACACCATCCAATATAATGGCAAGTTAGATTTGTTTTCTATGGTAACCAACATGGACGTGACTTTATATGCTGTCCCCCACAAACAGACACATACCTTCCACATTATCGTGCAAAGTCTGTGATATAATGTTCAGTTTTTATATTTTCCATATTACTCGGTGTGGTCCACATTGACAGAGCATTATCGGTTCAGTACACAGCACTTACCTGGTGGTATTGCTGGTTCATATAAATTGAAAACGTTTGTGTAAATATTACCTAGTTTATATAAACAGTAAATTGTTCGCACGTCAGTGAACTTGCTATCAACAGATAAAAAAAGCTGACTTTAAACCTTCCTCATGTTGGTTTATCATTACTTTGCACTACAAATCCGCGTGTTTAAAGAATGCTTCCCGAATAACTATTTAAACCATAGTGGTACTTTCATTAACCACCTATTTTAGCATTCAATA